GGAACGTCATTCTAATTTTAGTTCATTCTAAATTATTATTTAATCAGAATAAAAATACTTCAAATTATATATTTGTAAGATATAATTTTAGTTGAACTTTTCGATAAAAATCTATCTTGGTTTTGGAAAATAAGTATAACTCAAAATGTATGTTTCATAAATCTAAAAATGATTCCAGTTTCTTTTGTTGAGAAGTTCACTTCAGTACACAGTGTTATGCTGTATCTGGAACGCTATAGCAAAATCAGTTAAATAGCAATTCTATTGCCATACAGAAGTAAGGCCATTGAAATCAATTACATTTGATGGGATTTATTTCTAAGTAAACATATATAAGGTTGCATTGTTATAGCTTAATGGAACACCTGCATACATAAACTCAATAATCTATCAACAAGATTTTGCACTAAAGTTTAATCCTTTAATATTCTGATTATTCTGCCACAAAGAATTATAAGAAAACTTGTGTACAGTCAGTAAATGGTGGAGGCATGTATTAGTATTTCATTATGTGGAATATAAAATTTATATATTGATATTCATCAACAGCTGTCAGGACAGCTAATGAACTGTGAAATAATAGTAAAACCAAAAATTGTGCTTGGGTATTGTAACAAATAAATAAAAGCATTCTAGTTATTAAAAACACATTAAAAGCCAATGAAAACAGCAAGAACAGAGGCTTAAAACCAATTCAGTTTAACTTGCTGAAAAGCTGAAGCAATTGTAAGATGTAGGAGTCCTGCCAAGGAAAATTGTTTTCCTCTCTAACTTCTTCCTATGCAGACCTGCCAAAACAATAGTAGAACTTGAATATATCAGTATCATCTCATTCACTTGCCAGAACAAGGAGCATCCATATAAATTACTATGATCCTTCAGCAGATTTGATGATTAGTTTTGTCCTTGGATGTGTGGGAAAGGAACAATGCTGAAGCTGCATTGTGCTGCGTTCCAACACTGATATTTAGATACCTAGATCCTAAACAGGTAACTAAACATACTGGTGATGAAAGAAAGGGAAGGAACTGGAACGATTCACCAAATTGTGCATGAATACAGCTCTGTTTCCAAAAGAAAAAAAAAACAATAGGCAATTCCCAGTTGCATTTGGGAGACAAGACCAAGGCATTAAGAAATCTACAATCTAGAGTTGTACTATTTATTACACAGAAGACATTCACTTCCATGAAACGTTGATGTTAATCCTTACTAAATGTGCAGAAAATATAGAAGCACATCCCCTTCCAAAGAAGCAGTGTCTTTTTCTTCAGTGTAAGAAAGCTTTGTTTTGTGATGTGCCATTTTAGAATCAAAATAGATTTCATCACATCTGAGTGTGTGTATGTGTGTGCGTGCGTGCGTGTGTCTGTGTGTGTGTAAAACTGGAAGTGTTTTAAAGCAGAGAACTGATAGTCTGGCTGTAGCTAGACACAAGACAGCCAAATACTGATCAAGCCTTTCTACACAAAAGCACTGCTAATGCATCTCTGTTCCACCCTGTAACATTCTTGCTATTCCAGCAAAGGGTGTGGCCAGCTATAAGACAGGCTGGTAATGAGCTTCCCCTATATATTGACTGACTAGATTTCTAGCTTCTGCTGTTTCAATGCTCCTGTTATCCCTCTCTCTCAAACTTCTTCATCCAAGCAACATTTTGCTCTTGCTTGATGTGAGTAATGTGATTGTCAGCAACATAAACACTGTTGGTTCACTAAAATACTAATGGTGCAGTGAATATTGAGCACTTAAGGCAAAAATAAGTCAACAAAATACAACTGATGCCTTGCAGGTATGAGGCCAGTGTTTCTTAAATGTGCCCTCCAGATACCTAGGGCTTCAATTCTCATAAACTCCACACACGAATGCTGCTATGTCTGTGTGGATAATTCCAACCTTGACCCTGCTTGAATGTACAATGTTGTAGCTCTTTTCCACATTATATGGTCTTAATCCAGACTGAGCCATCAATGTCTTGGAACATAAGAACTTTGAAGGATTAAATCAAAGATATATCATGTCTAATGTTCCATTTATACAGTGGCCAACTTCATCATCTAAGATGACCACAATTTTGCTATATCTCCTCAAGTTCTTTAGCAGCTGATATTAATATTCTATATTGAAATTAATATATGTCATAACTACAACAATACTTATATTTGTTTCCTTGAAATCCATTTTTATTGTACACAGAAAAATAAATTCTGCCTCATTGTGCATAGCCAAAATGTGGGAAAGGTGTTAAAACCCAATTTCCTATGCTAGAGTTCTAATCCAGAAGTGATCAACTGTATCTCTTTTATAAGATGCTAGCCTGTGATCATAATACAAATTGATTGATTGGTATATTTTATAAGATTTTTATACAATTGCTACCATTTTTTTGAATTCTATCAATCCATCTAGGTATGTATAAAGCAGGAAAGAGTTTTTGTGGAAACTTTTTAGAACTTTTAAAATTCCGAGAAGACTTGCAATATCTTTATTTGAACTTCCTGCTCTTTCTTCTTCCTGCAGCACAATTATGTTGAAAATTGAAATCAGTCTAGTGAAGAAGAATGTGTGTGAAAATTTTCAAATACTGAAATAACTCTTAAAATCTTCTAAGACTAATTTTATTGTCTTGAATTAAACAGGTCCCTCAAATATAATTTGTATTTTAAATTATATCTTTTTGTTGGGGATATGTGGAAATTACCTGTATTGCTTTTCCCATAAAAAGAGTTGCAGTTTAATATTTAGAATACAATTAGGAACTTCCTGTGCTTTAAATATTTATTCCCTCTGAATTTTGCTGTCATACTGAGAATTTCATATATAACTGGAGATTTTTGCATACAAACTGGGAACACCAATGCCAAGTTTTTCTGGAACCTTAAAGACACTGTTTTCCCACTCTAAACTGAGAAATGATTTCTGGTCCTCTAGGAGATCCTTTGATTAGGCACGTCAATGATTGGAACAGTGCTTTTTTGTGCTGTACACTTAGCTATGCGATAAATAACCTAAACGCCCTTCAGATCTTTTGAGCTGTAATTTCTATAAAATCAAGCCATTGTGCTCCAATAGTAAAGTTCATGACAGCTGTAGTACAAAAGAAGGAGATCCCAAAGGGATCTGATGGGAATCACCTTGCCTAAGTCTTAAAGGTTATATGGTATTAAAAATGGCATGGTGGTTAGAATGCAGTATTGCTGTTTTGAGTTCAATCCTGATGGATTTGAGGTTGACTCAACCTTCCATCCTTCTGAGATTGGAAAAATGAGGACCCAGACTGTTGGGGGCAATACACTGATATTGTAATCTGTTCAGAGAATGCTGTAAAGCACTTAAAGACAATAAGACAATAAGTCTAAGTGCTATTGCTATTTAACTTTAGGATCAGAATCCACCTGTCGACTTAGTAGCTATGAATTGTGACTCACAGCCTTTAAAGGAGAATCCCTAATTTTGATGCAAATACATTGAAGCAGAATTGGGAACAATTTGACAGGAAGGGCATTGGCATTTTTTGCTGTTTAAACTGAGAAAACAAGAGAAAATTTAAAAAAAAACCCACAACAGAACACTGTCCTTTGAATACAATGGTGATGCTCCACTATTGGAAGATTTAAAGGACCAGATTGAGGACTGATCAGCATGGACAATTATATCAAAAATCAGCTTCCTTCTTTGTGGAAGAAGAAAGTGTGCCCACAAGCTGAGTTTTCTGTCCTTTATTCTCATTGTGTATTTGAAATATACATTAAAATGTGCTGGTTCAAATATTGGCTTGGGCTGCCTTCCTGCAAGCAGTTATACTTGCAAGCAGGACTCCCAGATTAGGGTATTTTCAAGTCTGCATATTTGCTTTGAAGATGATATTCCATTTTGACATCTGAAATTACAACTGTAATGAGGACTTACCTGGAAAGTACTGTGGGAAGGTTAGTTAAGAACTTTATCTAAGTCAATAGTAAATGCCATTCCCAACATGTACTGGATCTTGGATGGAAAAAAATGAGAAAAAGAATTGGTGTAGACATATAGTAGTCATGGTATAGACATATTGTGTGTCAATATATGGGATGTTTAGCATGGGATGTGTCAGAAACTTTATTTGCGGAATTGCACAAATATGAAAATACACTGCTATTGTAATGAAATTAACTGATAGCAAAGGAAATGTTTCTGATATTAATACTATAATTCTACTAGCTAAAATAACTATAAGTCCACTACCTAAAATAATTTCATTTCCTTTGTTAAGCAGCTTATGACTATTAAAACTATTTTGCAATGGTCCTCATATCTGCAAAAGTGGTTCACACTTTTAGAGCCTGAAGTCAGGCAGCAGCTACTCTGAATATCACACTTTATTTCAGAGAAAGTTTCTTAGACTGCCAAAGTTGCAGAATGGAGGCAAGCTCAGCAGGAGAAGCACACTGATATTCTGCATCTTAAAAGGAGAAGTTTCCCAACACAAATATTGCTGCCAGAATGATGTGTTGATCAAAGCTGCATTATTAACATCTTTCTCAAGGCATTCCTTAAATTGGTCAGAGGAGCGAGCTGTAAATCTCTGCAATTCCCCCTGTGCTCACAGGAAAAAGCCCAGAAGAAATAAAAAGAGAAGGAAAAAAAAACCCCACTGAGGTAGCAGGAAGAAATGCGTTAAAGGAGTTCCAATCAGACAAAATGATGCCTCCCCCGCTCCAAGGCAAAGTTGGGCGGGCATTGCTGCTGCCCAGGGCAAAGAGAAGTCATCGCCGCTTTACTTCCAGCCAAGGTTCCCGCGGGAGGTCGCGGCTGGCTTGCTCCCTCCTACTTCTCCTCTTCCTACATCCCCTCAGGCTTCTTTTGGTAAAGCGGATCTCACTGCAGTTCCAGGGCATCCCACCCTCGCCTGAGCGGTGCTGTCATCTGAAACTTCACATCTGAACGACTGCCAAACCCCTGGGACTATATAAAGGCGCTCCGCAGGCATTGGGCGACACTTGGAGAAGAAGTGGCCGCAGAAGCAGAGAAGCGCTCACATTCCAAGGGGGTCTCTGCGACTGCTCTGGCCATGCTTGCTGCCGCTCTGCACCTCCCGAGTTTTCTGCTGGCTTGCGCGCTCCTGAAGAGCTGCGTGGCATTCAAAAACGATGCAACCGAGGTCCTTTATACCCACGTTGTCAAAACTGTCCCAGCCGGCAGCCACAACAACACCATGAATCAAGCGAGGCACGGGGGCAGGCATGCAGGATTCGATCAGAGCAGTAAGTATTATGCATTCAGATGTAGCATCTTTCCTTTTTAAAAGCAGGGATGTTCACTAAGATCCTGAGTGAATAATAATAATAAGAATAATAAGCACGATCTTTTCTGATTTCCCCAGAAGGCAGACTGAGGGTCAGCTTAGCAATAGGTACAAGCGTTTACCTTTGTTTCTCTTCTCCCATGAGACCCAAGAGAGATCAGTTGTGCCACACTGAGAAAATAGCTTTATTCAAGGTTAACTCAGCGTTTTCCAAAACCTTAAGCATTAGGGGAAGCTTCAGACTAGTGTCCATCCATAGTTTGTATGTAAATATAACTGCTGGGTGCTTTTTGCTAACCACACATTTTTTGAAACAAGTATTTGTCTCTAGTTTCTTCATAAAGCTAACATTTATCTTCAGACACAGGGTTTTGGTTTTGTTCTATTGCCCCTCGCCTTTTATTATTATTTTTTAAATCCTGATTTAGCATTTGCATCAATAAATCCTGTGTCCTTGTCAACTTAAGCAACTTTAAAATGTTTGATCTTCAACTCCCAGAATCCCACAGCCTACTTAAATTTGCCAGAGTTGAGAAACACTTATTTGGATGTGTAAACAAGCAGGTGTGCAAACATCTTGGCTCCAAGCTTTAAATATGTATGTATGCATGCATGTATGTATTTTATATAGCTGTCCATCGTCAAACAACTTTCGGCAGCTAAGTGTTTTCTCCCTACCTGCCAAGGCCCAGCACACTTTTTGGCTGTTTTTTTTTTGGCCCAGGAGAGAAGTATAAGCAACCAGAAATTCTTTTGTCTGACTTAAGCCTCATCATAGTTCTAAAAAAATGTAAAAGAAACATGCTATGGACACTTGATCTTTAAAGGAAAGTTTCATTTTTCAATGACAGAAAGGCTTAACTACTTTAAGAAAAGGTGACTGAGAGATACAGGAACTGTCATATCAATGCAAGATTACTTATTAGTTATTCACTGTCAGTAAACTGTCCCAAGAATGAAAAAAAATACTAGGAAAGCTTATCATGCAGGCAGAAATTCAAAAGAACAGTGGAGGAACAGAATTCTTCAGGTAGGAGTTAATGTGCAGAAGTTCTCTGGAAACAGTCAAGTTGGTATCTTCTTGAAAATTACTTACTATATTTGATGCCACATTTTGTCCAGTGGTGGAACATCTCTCTCTAGCTCAAGAGAAAAATGTTAAACCCAGTAAAGTCATGTTGGCACTTTATTTAAATCCAGTGCATATCTAAGTATTATTTCAGTAGGTTTCACATAGAACTTCCACACTGAATGTACCTCAAAAAACCCATGCTGATTCTCAAGGAATGACATTGATAGAAGAATCTAATTACATAAGGACTCAATCTCAACAAGTTCTAAAAATAAATTTTGCATTTTTATTTTTTTCCTCACATATAAACATAAACATCCTAGAATGTCATATCCAGGAATTTAGAGTTGTAGTTCAGTACATCAGGAAAGTTCATATCATAATCACAAAACATTGTTTCCATGATAACATTTATTTTAAGAATATGTAAGACTGAAAGATGTGTGATGAAATTCATGGTGTGCGTTCCTTTCAAAGGGATAATTATGAAAATAAGGACCAGGCTTGTTTCTATGAGGATATACATAGAGGGAAGCAGGCAGAAACATGTTTGCATTTGCTGCTATTTCAGCACCTTGGTACAATGTCAGTTGCCTTTAAAAATGAAATAACATTGCCTCAGGTTGTGCAGGGGTACTAAATTTTTAAGAGAAACAATTGCAAGCCATAGTGTAATTCTGCACTCTAAAGAAAACTATATATTAAGAACATGTTTGAAGAATATTGAATTGTAAAAATTGTCCTCAATAGAATCAAGTTTATAGGTGACATGCAAGCTTTTAATTATTATGATTAGATTCATCTCAATACAATGTATTAAACTAAACTGACGTTCAGGGTAAGCTCACAGAAAATTTAAAACTAATATCTTGGAGAAAATCCAGCTTGAACGGACATCCAGGAGTATTTTATATGAAAAGCAAGCAGATGAAAGGGAATCTTACGACATGAAGTCATTTCTGATAGCATCAGTAGCTAAGGCATGACTAACAGCAATTTCCTTAGCTTGAGAGACAACTATATATTTATACATTGTTTCTGTGGGATGGTTTCCTCCAGTCTCAGAAATCCAATTTTCCAAACCTGGGTTTTATTGGGTTATTAAAGTATACCCTGCCCTAGTATGCTCCACCATGATAAGATGGTTCAAATTTCAAGTATTTGATAAATGCATACCCAGAAGACACCAAAATGTAATAGACATATATCATATATAAGGAAAACATGATTATGCCCATCCATCAATGACATTCAGAAATATGTATTGATTGTAATAAGATTGGAATTAGCATCCTTATCCACCCTACCATTCTTCCAAAATATAGTGTAATATGAAATGGGTGATTTATGTTCTCTATCCAGTTTGAATTCTTTTCTATAGAAAAATGATACTGAAGGTACAGCATAGCTATCCAATATGTATGCAATGTGATATGTGAGAAATCATAGATTATGCTCTAAATTCTTTTGTAACTGAAGTATCTTGCAATAAGAATGATTAAGAAGAAAACAGGATAAAGACATTGTTAGTGGAACTGATATGAACCTTCTGAAATCTACATAGTAATCTAGGGTGTAACTGATGCGATATGGATGACCTTCAAAAACATTGATACTCTTGTCTGTTGCTATCTCTGATACAAAACTTTAAATAAGGATTTGTTTTGGTTTTCACAGGTCGAGTTCAAGTTGGCTGTAGGGAATTGAGATCAACAAAATATATTTCAGATGGTCAATGTACTAGTATAAACCCTTTGAAAGAGTTAGTATGTGCTGGGGAATGCCTTCCTTTGCCAGTGCTACCTAACTGGATTGGGGGAGGTTATGGATCCAAGTACTGGAGCAGAAGAAGCTCACAGGAATGGAGATGTGTCAATGACAAAACTCGCACCCAGAGGATTCAGCTGCAGTGTCAAGATGGAAGCACCAGAACCTACAAAGTAACTGTGGTTACAGCTTGTAAGTGTAAACGATACACAAGACAACACAATGAATCAAGCCATAACTTCGAAGGAGCAACTCAAGCCAAGCCAAACCAACATCATAAAGAAAGAAAAAAGAACAGTAAAACCACAATGCAATCTCCAAGTTAGAACTTAATGTATGTGGAGAGTGCATGTTCGTGTGTGTATATGTGTATGTGGGCACACACATACATATATACATACATACATACACAAAAACCCTTATTAATGACTCTCTGTTTTACAGATGTCACTACCTAACAAAAGCCCTCTGATGTTGTGGTTGCTTCTTCAGTGGGTATATACATTTGTGGCTTTGACCAAACTCAGAAGGGCATTCTTTTCTGAAGGATTTTTTAGAGGTGACCTTCATATTTTAAAGCTGGCCTATAAGCCAACAGTTTATATATGCATATCTAAATAAAGCAAATGAATATTATTGCCATGGGAAGTCAAATATTTTATACTGCAGACAGCAGCTATTCTGAATTTTTCAGGGGCACTTTTCAGATCACACATTTTCTTGGCAGCAAAGACATCTTATTTAAAATAAGTATTTTAATTATATTCATTAGAGTGAAATTAAAACATTTATTTTAAACAAGATGTCAGTTTGTTGGGATTATTTCTTCCCATAATACAACTATACGAACAAATTGGTCAACAAAAAGAAAAAAAATAAAGGAGGAAAAAAAAGAAATTTGAATAAAATGTATTTATTTGACATTGCAATTATTTAATGCATTTTAATATGCTTTCTATTTTTTAAGATGGCTGTCTGATATCTTTACCATTCTTTAGAGCAGCAAAATATTTTCCTATGATTTGTTACCAAATTAGAATATATATTTGTAGATAATGTAAATAGATATTTTAATCTTTATATTTTTTTCTTTACAAAGAAACACAGTTCAAATAAGAAATTTTAAAATGTTTTGTAAATACTTTGTAAAATACATTTTTGCAGTCCAAATATTGACTTGTCAATTTTTTTCCATTTTAATTAAAAATTCCAATAACAATGCCTTTCATTTTCTTTGGTGTAACAAAATAAGTGGTATGATAGTATGGTATATACTATAGTAACAGAGCACATGCAAAATACACTTTCTGGTAATGCAAAGCCAATGTATTGAGCTAGGTAACCAATTAGCTGATTCATACAATGTCCTGGCAATAATTTTTCTTGCATCATTTCTACATTAGGAGACTATGATGAGAGAAATGAGGAAACTAATATGAAAAATGAACATTGCCCAACAGAGAAAACTATATTGAAAGTTCATTGCACAGTCTTTTTTTGAGATGATATCCTCAATGGTAGGGAAAATTCATTAAGGGAGCTACTTCAGTGGCCTTCCAGATATATATCCGAACATATATGAAAGACAATTGTCTTTCATATATGAAAGACAATTGGCATAACAGCAAATGAATTGAAATGACTCATGGAATAATTGCATGGTCTTTAATCTGATGTTCACTATTGTATTTGTACCTCACTGGAACTGAACTCAAATATTCCTGTTTAAAAATAAAACTATTTTGTCCTGGTATCAGGTTGAGAGAGAGAGAGAGAGAGAGAGAGAGAGAGAGAGAGAGAGAGAGAGAGAGAGAGAGAGAGAGAGAGAGAGAGAGAGAGAGAGTCAAGAGAAAGACTGATCATTTTCTTGGATTCTTTGTTCAAATTCTTGGGTATGACCAACATAGTCATTTATATTCCCCTCAGCTTTACTACAAAAACCCAGCAATGTTTATTCCAATACATTTTTTGCAACATTCACCACATACACTGATTCATGAATACTCTAAATTTTTAAAAAGGAACACTGTCATTTCCACAGCTGCAAAACAGTTGTGCATCTTAGTATAAATATTACCAAAATGACTTGTATCTTAAACAATTATTTCTCTGTACAGATAGTTCTCACCTTAAAGCCATTTAGTAAACAAAGTTACAATTGCAAAAAAAAATTATGGTAGTTATTACTGGTTTTCACACTTATGACTGTTGAAGCATCCCCATGGTTACATAATCAAAACTCATATGCTTGCAACTGGCATATACTTACGTTTGCAATGTCTCAAGGTAATGTGATCACCTTATGCAAACTGATGAACAAAAGCAGGGGGAAGTTAAATGTACTTAACAATTGTGTTACTAAATTAAGAACTGCATGATTCACTTAAGAACTCTGGAAGGAAAGATTTTACAATGGGAGCAAAATTCACTTAACAAATGAAAATTTTAGGCTCAATTGTGGTCATAGGTTGTACACTACCTGTAATCCCACTTTTAATAGATTACATTTAACTGCTATTTATAGGGACCATTCTTAAAATGTATCAGAGATTGTCTAGAAATACTGTTTTCAAAAAACCTGTAAATTAATGTTTTTTGAATTTGTGTTTACCTTAATTTTCCAAATAAAATTTAAAAAATAAAAGTAATTGGCTAAAATATGTCGTTGAATTAGAATCTGGCAATAGTGTTTAGTATAAAAAATATCCAGTCAATTGCTTTGACTTCAAAAAAGTTATGTAATTTTTAATAGGTAAAAGTTTGTAAATAATATTTCAAGCCATTTATTATTTATTTCTGCCCAGTGTTTTGTTGAGCTTTTCCTTTCGTAAATAAAGTAATAGCTACAATTTCTTGTAGAGAGAGAATATGATAGATACTCTCTGTTTATCAGACCCTGACTATAATGAGCTTTTTGTGGTAGTTAAATTCATGAATATTAACAAAACCTTCATGTAAGGTTACAATAATGGAGTCCTGGAAATATGAAAGCATTTTTCTTCTTCCTTCCCTTTGTTTTCAGAGAACTAGATAGAATCCCTTCCGAGATGATTTCTATACCCCATTTTTTCCTGTGAGCTCACGTATCTTTGGCCTAATTATAGTCTAGCCAGAGCACTGGTCGCCAACGGGTGGGCCGGGGACCACTGATGGTCTGTGAGAAAATTTGGTGGTCTGCAGAGAAATGTCACCCCAAAGTACCCCCCAAAGCAATTAATCCAGGCTGCGCAGGAACACAAGACTTGTGTCGCTTGCATTGAGAACGTGAGGTAGTGAGGGGAGGGGGAAAAGGGCGGAGGGGGAGAACTTGCCCCACTTGCCTGGCCTGGTCACCGGGCAGCTTCTTTCCATTTCTTCTTCTGCTTTTGGCTGCATGCAAGGAAAGCAGCAAAAGTCTTTCTTTCTTTCCCCCAAACTCCACCAGAAATGACTCTTTGGGATCCTGCACAACAAGTCTCACAAAGACTCATTTCTGGTGGAGTTTGGGGGAGAAAAAGACTTTGGATGCTTCTGCTGCTTTCCTTGCATGAAGCCCAAAGTCTTTCTCTCTCTCTCTCTCTCTCTCTCTCTCTTTCCTTCCCTCCCCGAGAACAGAGCTGGAGACCGTATCCTGCGATCCCAAATAAAAAAATGATTGATCAGTAGGAAAATGAGGTGGGCAATTTTCTTGCAAGCTTTTTTGGGGGATTTTCCCAGGGCCTCTGGTCTGCAGGATTTAAAATTATGAGTTGGTGGTCCCTGAGGTCCAAAAAGTTGGCAACCCCTGAGCCAGAGGCTCCTTCTTATCCTACTTTCCAAGGTTATTCTCACAGTCCCTGTTATTCTCACAGTACCAACTCTACTATTGGTAGTGGTGTTGTAATTTCCTCCTACATAATATTGGGGAAAAAGTAGCAAAAAATGATAACCTTCAAGCAATCCCCATTTCACCAAGTCATGTATACCTACTGATATATATATAGAGTATATCTATTTGGATTATTACACTAGGTCAATCACATTGTTTGAAGATAGATACTACGTCACATGAAAGAGCCCCATATTGTGTTAGGAATAGGAAATGAGCCAATAGTGAAAAAGAAAGGTGAATAAGTTGTGATTAAATATCTCAAAGGGCATCTCTTGTTCACTTGCATAGTCTGGATCCAACATAGCATTTCTGTTCTTGATTTAATCTTGTGCTTGACCTCTAAATTTGGCGCAGTACCAGAATTATTTATGTCAAGAATTAGTTACTTTACCTTCTGAACCTCAGCTATATTCTGATTAAAGTATAAAAAGCATTTAAAAAGACATGTTGATGTATTAACTATATTATCTACTGTAAAATAATAGCTTTCATCTGATACATTTTTCATTTGCTGAATAAAATATCTGAATATTTGAATGGGTGGGTGTATGGTTTCATAATGTTAACATCTATCTGCAGTTATAAAGAGTCATGATAAGGCTGCTGTGCAGTTTAAAAATAGAAAATGTACATTGAAAAGTATTAGTTACATTTAAAGAAAGGAATAATTACTCTGGTTAAAAATCCATATTAAAATGAAATTAGAAAGTAAAGCTGAAAGAACAAGGTTATTCCTATTAGTAAACTGTTGATAAAAATGTCCTCTGATAAGTATTGAAAAAAATGTATTCTCCTGTGGTACAGAAGTTAATTTGATAGCACCATGAAATACAAATATACAGTTATTTGAACGATACATTAGGAAGGTATGAAAATGTTGTTCATTTAAAACACTATTTTCATGGTATTTTGTTACAACAAAAATTAGGAGTTTTGTTTTCTTCTGTTCTGTTTCCTTAAAATAATAATAATCATACTGACAAAAATTGCAACATCTAAAACTCCTTCATTTTCAATGATCTAGCAATCTTGAAATGTCAAATGAAGTTCAGTACAGGTAGTAGAATAATGCTGACTTTTAAAATAATGCCCTTGGAAATACCTAAAACGTTTCAGCTTCATAAATAATTATCATTTCTTTAAATTTGATCTTTGCATCCTTCCTTAAAGAGTGCCATGTTAATTATGTGTGAGTTCAACACATTCCACTCTGGAATTTTTGTGCCTAATGTGCTAACTTGGAAGGTTTCAAGAACTCAGAAGAATTGGTAAGTGCTGAGAAACATTCTCTTTTCATGATGCATTTCCTTTCCTGCAGGCCAGGCAAGAAAGCTTTGATTTTAATTTTACTGACATACTTATAAATGTAGCTTCAGGTTAAAACTTAAATTTGTCTGCAGATTTATGAGCCAGGCAGACATTCTGTCACGGGCCTTGTTCCTTTTGCTTCGGCATTACCCTTGCAACTAAACCTGCCTGAGTGTTTTCCTGAAAGGCAGCCAACTTTTCAAATAATTTAGTATTTCTACTTTGCTTTGTAGCCCAACCATCCTCATTACATCTGTAAGCAGCCATGATTCTATGCAGACTTACTAGGGAGTCATTCATCCATCCATCCATAATTTATTTGCTACCCAACTCTGTGAACAGTAAACTGTTTCATACACAGTGGATCTTAGCTTTGAGGGAAAAAAGTACAATAGGAATGTATTACCCATCTTTTTTTCCTTCCTAAATTCAAAGATATTTCCTATTTATATATAAATACAAAATTATATTTTCTGTGAACAAAATAATTACCTTGAATACATAATGCCATGTACAAATAGCATTTTATAAATGTGCCTGCTTCAATCCTGCTCTCAATTTGTTATTAACATATTTTCAAAATAAAAACAGATGGAACACAAGGCAGTATAGCTTTCATTGTTATTAAAATGCTTTTATGCTTCTCGCTTTCAAGTTTTTAAAATGAAAAGCAAAGAATATCCAGAATTTGAATGATTACATTGTGAAATGTACAATGCAATTGGGGATACCTATGCATATTGAATGCATGCATATTTTGCACTATAAATCTGGATTTATAGCACTGAATTGTAAGTGCTTACAGATACCAGATATAAGAAGTACATATAAATTGTTTCACAAATTATTCCCTTATCTGTCAAAAGTCATAAGTTGAATCCTGCCTTAGGTGTGGTGCATCCTGAGATACTTGCAAATGCTACTGCTAATTTTTACTTTAAAAAGCACTGCCACCACATCAATGTAGAACTTGGTGTAATTAGACCTATGTAGTTTAGATATTACAACATTTCTAAGCTAAGGAAAGATTTAGCACAAGAATGCCTTAAGCCTTAAAATTTAGAGTTAAAATTTATGTATACCTACAACCATGTATATCATTTGCCCAGGTTTTCTTGAACCGTAATTTGTGGCCTAATCTACAATTAATTTGATTCAAACTTTGCAGTAAGCATAGTATTAAAATATATTATCAGAAAGCTCCATTATTATTTACTGTAATAATAATGTGTAGAACAGCTTTTGTTTTTTCTACTGTCCTTGCTTGCATTACTATATTATTGTAGATCATAGTTTATATTTGTACAGCAACTATTTATATTTTGATACTTCCAGCGTATCAGGATGTCTGCATGGGACAGGGATACGTAAAAATCAAAGTTAGCAACTATAACAGTGCACCGAAGCCTTTTTGGGGGGAAGGGCATGCTGGGATGGGGGTTTGATTACAGCGACTGTCTTGATGTCCCCGATAGAGTTACTGTTTTCCCCCTTTAATAGAAATGTTTTCTGGTATTAAATATATGAAAGTGACAGAACAACACAGAAAGTTGACTAATTAAGGCATAGTTATCTGGATGTCCTAAAATTGAGAAAGCATAATTGAATGCTAAAACTTATATCTAAAACAATTCCTTTTCTTCTAAAGATTATGTTATGTTCATTTTGGGCCTTTGAGTCTCTTAACGGTCATAACACTTCAACAATATTTGCCATACAAAATATCTACTAAATATGATGGAGACTGTAAGAAAACACATAGAGAACTCATTATTATGAATAAAAGGATTATTCCCAAAACAAACAAAAGCAATGCAAATATTTCTGCAGTTTACAAACCCCTCTTTCCATACCCGTTTGTTCTGTCTGGAGAAAGGTTGATAAAAAAAATAGAATACAATCTACCAATGATGGTAATGTACATGACACAAGGTACAATTTTATTCTTTAAAAAAAATCCACATACAGCTATATATATGTGGATTTACTGTGGTGGTAAATGAACTAGAGCTATATAAAATTCATTCGCTGGGATGGTTGCTTGGTCACAAATCTAGCTATTAATCAGAAATAAAACATCTTATTTTCTTATTAAATTTCAACAGCACTCATCTTGCCTAAGTAATTCTTAGGAGTCATAGGATATCAGAGACTGATTTGGTAAGTTAATCTATATTTAGCAAATATATCTATATTTGTTAATATTATTTATCTAAACTGTATCATAGCCATAGCCAACATTTGGAGCTTGTGCTTGAGGAAAAAAATGCTAGGAAGAAAAAAATAAATAAAAAGGGAGAAGGAAGAAATGAAAGAAAAAGAGAATTAAAAAAACACAGGTGACAAAAATGGGGAAGTATTCACACATAATGTAAACCAAACTGCAATATCATTCAATATGTCCCCTCAATGTGAACCAGTATTTTATAATAATTCAGAAAACTAAATTGCAAATTTGTTTTGAAAAAAATCCCTAATTACAATGCTGTTTGAAGAAATTGAAAGTACCAGTTCTGGAGGAGAGCTTTGAAATAAATGGTATATTAATTAATAGCAACAGCACTTAGATACTGCTCCACAGTACAGCCCTCTTTACAGTCAGCATATTGTCCACAACAACCTGGGACCTCATATTACCGACCTCGGAAGGATGGAAGGCTGAGTCAATCTTCAGCTGGTGAGAATCGAACAGATGAACTGCTGGCACCCAGCAGTCAGCAGAAGTAGCCTGCAGAAAGTTTAAATAAGCTTGGAAAAAAGCTTTAATATTTATTTTTATATTGTATCTTTGGAAAATTAATGGTATTTTGCTCATTGAGTAAAAACTGCTACATATTTTACCAATTACTGGCAAGGAGATTTGTTCTGCTTACAATCAGAGGAATTTAGTAAAATTCATGCTTTTCTAACTGGATGCTATCTTAAGTTTATCATAAATCAGGAATTCACAAACACAATCAATATTAATTACCTAATTTCATGATGTTATTTAATAATTGTTATAGTAATTTATCATTTTTTTAACCTTTCACTTTTGTTGTCATATATTTTGACATACATTTTGACCTTTGACATACAATTTTTTGTCAGTATGTAAATTACATTTTTCCTAGAAAAATGCTAGAATAAATTATGTTCAAAAAGGAGGCATATATTAGACCTGGCTTCTTCCACACATATCTCTTTCAACATCTAAATATTTTCAAAATGTCTCCAAGAAATTATGTAGTTACATTCACCAAGGCTTGCTCATGGTTATCATTGAAGTACTTAAAAAAAAAAACCCTTTAAATTCCTTCCTTCACCTTTTTTTTTGGTTCTTAGCGTTTTTCCTGCAGGTATAAATGCTGATCCATTAGTTGTGGCAAGAATTCACCAAGAGACTTGTTGACTGAGCCTGATGTTATAGGATGACAGAAAGTAACTGGCCCAAAGTCATCCAGCTTTCATGCCTAAATTCTACCACGATTTCTAAAATATAGACAGCTGCTTATAAACAATGTAAAGATCTATAGGCAAAAGAAGAAAGGGATGGTATAAAATGAGGTGGCTGAATGGAGTCACTGAAGCAGTTGGCGTGAACTTAAATGGATTCCAGGGAATGGTAGAGGACAGGAAGGCTTGGAAGAACATTGTCCATGGGGTCGTGATGCATTGGACATGACTTTGCAACTAACCACAATAAAGATGTATATATAAGGATGCCAGCTTATAAATATGGTATTTCCAGAGGGAAAAAACTGCCAAACTTGAAAGTGGGCATATGGAGTGCTTTAGAAGTACTCCCTGTTCTCAAAACAATGTCCCCCAAATTCTGAGGAAATACTAAGTTTAGCAACATGGTATCACGGGCACCAATCTACCAACAGATGGTGCCCATCAGAATCTGCATTACTCATTTTTAATTTTTCAAAATTTTGTTTAGTTTAGTTTACTTTATTGTCATTGCACCATCTTCACTGCACATCATGACCATGAAAATAAACACAAACACGCATCCTTCACCCTCCACACATTGAATCAGAAAAACCCTGACACAGCACTGGTGCTGTACAGTGTGATACAGTAGAATTCAAGAGAGCTACTGCCCTGGGATAGAAGCTGTTTTTCAGCCTATTTGTCCTTGTTTTTATTATTCTGTACCGCCTGCCAGATGGTAATAGTTAAAAAAAAGGGTGCCCAGGATGAGATGGATCTTTGAGAATGTTTTGAACTTTCTTAAGGCAGCGGGAACTATAAAGTTCTTCCAAAGAGGGGAGAGGGCAACCAATGATCTTCTGGGCGATGAAATTAACCCTCTGGAGTGCTATATTTTAATATTTCAATTAAGAAAAATAGAAAGCATACAAATCATTATATTCTAAAGTGGCTGTCAGCATTCTTAAGCTTTCAAGAAGATATCAAGCATTCTCAGAAGAATAAATCCTAAACATGTAGCCACCAGTATAAATTACTTTCATCTATATTTATAGAAAGTATGCTTTAACGTATACCTCATGGTAGAGAATACAACAGTTAATATTTAAGATAAGATTTTGAGACAAGAGGCGAGAATGGGACTCTCTTTGAACCTATTGGGTTTTTAAAAAGCCTTTTTCTAGCCAATACACTATACATGCATGAATAAAAACATTGGAAAGGGACATCATAATCCAACCAGACAGAAAGCAGCTACAGTCTTAACCCAGCAGCGAGACTAGAAGCTTTTGCTTCTCCAATCAATGGCTTTCCATCTGAGTAGGAAGCGCAACGCGTGCGCAGTGGGTAAAATAGTTCCCCCCTTCTCTTCCGCCCGTTCTTCGGCTTCCCTTCCACTTCCGAAAGGTCCTTTAAAGGGCCAGCAAAGGTTTAAAGAAACGATTTAAAAATGGAGACTAAAATCAATTGTCCCATGAGAATGTCGGGTGATTAAAACCGGCGACTCTTCCGACTCACAGAAAGGCTGCGTTTCAAATCCAAGGCAAAGCAATTGAGCACAGCTTGTTGCAAGTCGTTTCTGAGCTAGAAGCACATAATGGAGCCGCCGGGGGCTGGAGTCGGAAAAACGGCTGAGTTAGAAGAGGCAGGGGAGATCGGACTCTGCCGGCGATCACCGCCAGTATCGGTAGCAGCGGTACTACCTGCCGGAGGAAGCGGGGAAAGACTGGGTGGCAGCACCCCAAAGCAGTTTTGTCCAATGCTGGGGAGGCCACTCATTAGCTATACCGTGCGGGCGATAGAAAGGTAAAGCTTTTGTACTGTTGCTTCATCCTTCCGTCCCAAACACACCGGTATCACCCAGCATCTCATTCCCATGTGCTTATGAGGAGAAAAGATGCGTGGCGTGCCAAGTCCTTCCAAGGGCTGTTTCGTTCTACGCATGCGCGCAAAGGGGATCAGTGCACAGCGAGTTTTGGAAAGCTCATAGATAGCACTAAGAGCAGCTTGGCCCAGAAATGGAGCGTTTGGGAGGCTGCTGTTAAGCGCGGTGGGACGCATGGCAAAAGAAAAGAGTAGGGATGGAGTTCACATGTGCAGCTCTGAGCTTCTCATGATGTACCTAAAGCGAGGCTGTGTGCTTCTGAGTAATAAGTTTCATTGGCTGTATTTCTGGCGTGCCCCCCCCCCCCTTTCTTCGTGACTTGGTGTGCTTTCGAGTCTATATTGCTTCCTTCCTGGGATTGAGAAACAGTGAGTAGTCTAGGTCATTCAGTTTCCTTTGCACCTAAGAAGTCACAGAGTCTTTCGCTTCCGACTTGGTTCATTAACCACATTAGTGTTTCTCAAACTCGATAACTTTTAAGATGTCTGGGCGATTCCCATGAATTGATGTATGATCATGCCATATGTACTACTGTATTCTGGATCCTGAATGGTCTTTTAAATATCACCTGCGTACATTCAAATTGTATGAATAAAGCAGAGATAGCAGTTCACGTACACACATCTACAAAATGATAATCTAGGGGTATCTATCTCTTGCAATATGTTTAATGATAAGGTTACTTCAGTTGTGTAGTTTGACACTTAGACTAACTTTATTATTAATTTGAAAGTACACTAATCAGCATACATTAAAATAAAATTTCATTGCATACAGCTATCAAAGGATCACCACCTCCAATATATATTACACAAAACAAATAATAAATAAATACAAAAATATGCATATACCCACATATATGACATGGAGAAAACAGGCTAGTTTAAGAAAAACTAATCTTGCGAAAGTTTGGGGTAATTTTAAGACTAAATTATTTATTGAGTTGGGTAACGCTTAGGGTAATTATTTTTACTGATACAATTAGAGCTAGGTTTCCTTGAGTTCTGGTTACATTTGTTTCAATAATTAGCTTTAGAATGAGTTTTTAGATACCCATATAGTGTTGATCTTTATTTTATGTGAAGGTGATCTGCTTACATATCTTTTAAGGTACAAAAATTATATTGGCATTAGAGTGCAATTTGGATTATGATGGGCTCCCATAAAGTCTGTACTTACATTTAATGCAATTATATGCTTTTCAATAAATTTTCAATAGCAGTGGAACTACATTTGTGTTATATTGGTAGAAATTACTTGAGTTGTTATTAATCTTACTGTATGACGGTAACTTTGTCGCTTGTATCGATTTACGATTTATATTGACTGTTTCCTAATATGATTTGATTGTTTATTGTACCCTATGACTATTATTAAGTGATGTACCTTATCTTGATTCTTAACGAATTCTTAACCTTGATTCTTAACGAATATACCTTTTCTTTATGTATACTGAGAGTATTTACACCGACAAATCCCTTGTGTTTCCAATCATACTTGGCCAATAAACATTATTCTATTCTATTCTATTCTATTCTATTCTATTCTATTCTATTCTAATCTTCATGATTCTTTGCCAAGGTAAATTTTAAAGTAAGAACACTAAGGTAACCTTTAGTGTAAATTGACATTACAATTTACTAAGCTTAATTTTACATTCATGTCAATTTTACATTCATGTAAAATTGACATGAATGTAAAATTAAGCTTAGATAGGTTTTCTTGAAGTCCAAGATTGTATTTAATGGGAAGGATATGTTTTGGATGAGTTATTACGGTTAGTGATAATCTTATATTCATGTTATAATACAATTGTCTGCTGGATTAACTTTTACATTTACAAAATCTCTATTAGTGGTGACTTAGTTTGGCATAATCATTAGTTTTAATTGAACTTTTATGATAGAAGTATGTTGGGGAATTTTTGAATCAATTGTTCAAGCATTCAGGGAAAGGTAGGGTTAGGATTTGACTACTTTGAGGTCTAAGGTTTAATCTGATATCAGATTACTTTTGTATGAATTTTTATGGTTAGTGTAGTTTAATTATGTTACAGCAGTGAAGATTGGTGAACTGATTTTTTTCTCATTTTTGCTGGTCCTACTTTGATAGGAACTTTGGCGCCATTATTATTTATAATAAATTATTATAATAAATTATTTATTACAAATACTGGTGCTGACTTTCTGGATTATTTGTACAAGAATATCATATTATTTAAAATTTAGTCAATTTACACTCAGTTTAATAGTGCAATTAGGCAATTGGTTTTATTCATATTAAAATGTATTTGTGAAAAAAAAAGTTCCTTTATTCCATTAACAACAACAAAAACATTTGGCACTTTTCCATAAAAGAAAGCATATATGCTGACCAGTATACATATAACTAATTTTCATAAATTAATAAATAATGATCAGCCCAAGATACATCATAAACATTTACACACTTGTTTTTTGAGAAGGCTCTCTACACCAATATAGTGAATAAACATTTCACGTAGGCAGATAAGAATGGGTTTTGATTAGCTAGAAGTTAAGATGATCATTCCAAATTATTAGGATATTATTTATTTATTTGATATATTTTATCCTGTTGTTATTTGTGTATTTTGCTTGTTTATAGTTTCCCTCTTAAAGCTCTCCATAAGAACTTTACCCGATTTAGCTCTTACTTTGTGAAAGTTATATTTAGAGTCTTATATCTTCAAAAGGACTGCCAATTCATTTTTGGCAGGATTTTTTTATGAAGCTGGAGATAGTTTCATTGTAATATTCGCTGCAGAATTATCCATAGTTTTATTATTTGTTTACATTGATTATTAGGAAATGTCTCAAATTATTAAATTGATTAACAATAATATACTGTACATTGCATTTAATGTTGATTTATTATGTTGTGGTTAGCCTTAAAGTATTAGTATTACTTGTATTTTTCTCCCTTTGGTTTCTGAATATAGAATTATAGTTTTAAATTTTTATTATATTATATACTGTTAGGATGTTAAATTTCTGTTTTGTTTTCAACCCCTTTCTATGCTTGCAGGGGATGAAAAAAGACATTAAAACATGGGATCCAACATTCCCTCAGCCTTTTTGTTATACCTTTTTGATATGTGTATGATCCACTCAACTGCAAACTTCAGTGAAAATGTGGCATTTTAGCATCTGTTCCATGCAGTTCTTTAATTGAGACTTCAGGTTTGTTATGTATTTCGATTTTGAGAATTTCTCATAGTGGATTATTTTAAACAGGATGTTTTATTTTTGAGTTTTCCTTAAAACCATCTTGATTAAAGATAATCCAAACTAATAGATCATTTGAAATTAAAAAAAAAAAAAAACAGGATAAGTTTGGAACTTCACATTTAATGGACCAGGCCTGGTGAAGAAAAATAGAAGAAAATGGTTCTAAATGAAGTTTCCTGTTGTGCATGTTGAACAAAATAGCCTGGTTCTGGGAAGGAGGGGACCCTAAAATCTTTTATATATTTTGTGTGATGGAATGTGGGAAACAATATGGGTTTGTATTTGTTCCAAGCATATAATTGAAAGAATAAGCATGAAATAATATTGGCTTGGGATAAATAATTTATTTTTCTGTCGTGCGTTAGTGTGACTCATTATGTTAGTACTGCATCCAGCACTGCACTCGCTGAATTAAATATTGCTCAATTTCATTTAATTTTGATCAAGATCTGCAGATTTTTAAGTTAATAAGCTCTTCTGGAACTATAAGAACAAATGAAAATCAAAATGATTTAAGTGGCCTACTGAACCAATAAGAAGGTAAAGTGAATTACCCACTGACTTATTTTCTAAGCCTATCTGAGAACTTTATGAAGCACAGAGTTCATGTTAAAAATATAGATTGTGCTGAGTCAGTAAATGTAGGACCCAGATTGTTGGGGACAGTATGCTGACTCTGTAAACTCCTTAGAGAGGGCTGCAAAACACAATGAAACGGTATATAAATCTGTTATTGCTATTAAGGTCAGTTCTTTGCTTTGTAGTATGTTAACTTTGCAATAACTTTTTAAAAAATTTAAACAGATTTTAAAAAAACAATGAAGTTTGGTGAGACAAAACTTCACATTCACTAAGACCTTGGCAGTCACATTTACTCTCAAGCACCATGTTATCAATTTTGATTTTAAATTCCCCTACATTGAATAACATTTATGAACGTTTTTGATGCTGATCAGTTTTGTTTTATTATACTTTGTCAATAGAACTGGTTATATGGAGTAAATAGGCATGTAAATGGAAATTTTGCATTTAACCAGGCTGAATAGGATACTTTATATTGCTATATAAAATGCCTTGTTTGGGAAAAATGGTTCATTCATTTCTTTACTGTATTTATCATGGGCTAAAATAGCTTGTTAGGAGAATAGATAGCAACAAAATAATTGTGCTCAATAACTTGGAAAACAATGGATAGCTGGAGAGTATTAATATACGAAGTAGTTGGTCTGACTTATTCACTTAAATAAGTTGACATCTGTAGGCAATCCACTTATAAATAGGAAGTGTAATCAAGCCTTCCATCCATATGATGGCAATATCAGTAAGAGCATGGGCAATCCCTTTATGTTATCCCATTGTCAAATTCCATGTATTATCAATGTAGTTCAAGTAAAGATTATCCTCTCAAAATATTTTCTTCCGTTGCACAATCACATTTATATAATCCACTATTTTATTTGAAATGTAATAAGTGTAGGGCATTGTAAAAACAATTTAAAGAAGTATTATACCTATTACATCTCCAAGAAAATGCTGTCTTAGACATTTCTAGACAGGCACAATACAATCTAATACATTCTAAGCATTTTTCATTTGTAATTTCATCTATTGACAGTATTGCTACAGGAGTTAAAATATTTTCCCATTGTCTAGGTCCGTGATGGTGAACCTATTGTCACTTCTGGGTTCTGGTGCATGCATGTGCACTGGCCAGCTGGTCTTTGCATGTGCGGGAGCACCGGAAACCAGAAGAGCAGCTCCCTGGCACACATGTGTGCACTGGGAAGCTGAGCTTCCGGTTTCCAGTGCGCACATGCATGACAGCCAGCTGAACTTTGCACATACATGCATGGTTTCTGGCATGCATGCACACGCAAAGATCAACTGGCTGGCACATGTGTGCGCACTAGAAACCAAAAGACCAGGTAGCTGGTGCTCCTGCGCGCACTGGAAACCAGAAGCTTTAACCCCACGAGTGTGCCGGGGAGCTGCTCTTCCAGTTTCCAGTGCTCCCCTGTACATGTGTGCTTCAGTTTCAGCACTTGGTGCACTAGGTTCGCTAACTCTGGTCTAGACAATATAAAAATCTTTAATTCTTTATTCCATTTCTTAACTTCCGAATTTCAAATTAATTGATTGGTAAAACTATAAAAATAAATAATAGGATTTTTAGATTTAAAATAGTTTTAAAAAGTTAACCAATTGTTTTAGTATCTATGGGGTCTTAGAAATTGAAAATGCTGCTGGTCCAAACAATATTGTTAACTTTGTAGATGTAAAAATTACCACTGAGTTACATCTACTAGATGAAGCAGCTGATCCACAACCTAAACCATAACAGAGCCTGGTCACTACAGTAGCAAATGGGAATAGCTGTTAAGTGAGTAAGCCTTTCTTAACAACCCCCATCCCCTACTTTCCCTAATGCAATCGGTAAACAAATATGTGGGTAGTTGAGTGGGGTGCAAGATGCCTTATGGGTGAGTGAGGCCTATCATCCAGCTGGGTCCATAAAGAAAGTAGACCAGCAGAAAAAGCTTTACAAACAAAACAAAACAGAAACAATTTATCAGGGAGATTAGGAGCCAGCACCTAATCTAGCAGAGCTAGATTAGGTGCCAGCACCAAGTTCCAATGCCACCGAAACTTCCAAAAAAGTGACTAATAAGCCAGGCATGTGGACTGGGCCTTTGCCCCCAATTAGCTGGCTTTTGGGATACTGTAAATGTCACCTGGCTCTTGTTTAATACTGTTTAATACTTATTATACGTAAAGTTGTTCTTCATGGATATTACAACAAATGATAAGCTAAGACTTTCTAACCCTCCCTGTCTGCCAGGGTATAACTTCAATGCAAAACTATCTCAAATCTAATTATATTTTTAATGATTAATTTTTTAATTGCAGACCAATTTCTTTTCAGTCATTTTTTTCTGTTGGCTATATTTGACAGTTTACTAAGATTAAATATTCACATTTTTGTAGGATACAGCATGCTCAACTTTTTAAAGAAAAGTGACATTTGGAAAACATGAATTACACATTTTCTGCAAATTTTAGTAAAAGTTGTCAAGCTTAAGAATTTTTTTTCTCAGAGAATAAACAAGTTGTGATATATTTTTAAGTATTAGTGATTAAAATATGCTTAGAATAATTTTAAACTGCTCTTTATTTCCAATTGTTTTAATAAAAATAAGGTTGGACTTCTATTACATCCTGCAATAGTGAAAATCAAAGGCTTTGAGTAATGTTTTTGTTTTTCCACATGGACTGCTTGAATTTTTTTTCACAATTTGGCGCACCATTTAATTAAAGTGTATTATTCAGATTTTAATAAATGTACTTTTCTAATGTAGTGAATGGACATGATTTGATCATAGGATGAATTGGTTCAAGGAGGGCTATTTGAAGTGATTCAAGGGAAACTGAGAAAGTGTCTATAGACCCCTCATTACCTGGACATGATTTGTTTCAATGCTTCCCCTCAGGATGCCAGTATAGGGCAATGCATGCCAGAAATCTAGACACTAGGACAGTTTTTTTTCTCTTGTGCCTTCACTCTGCTGAACACCTAATCCTTATTGTATTGTTTTATGCCTGTATATTTACTCATGTTATATGACATTATTATTATTATTATTATTATTATTATTATTATTATTATTATTATTATTATTATTATTA